TAAGTGTAGTTATATAATTATGATCATTTTAATAGTATTTATCATAACAGCTGCATTCGCTATCTTACCCTGTGTTTTAGATGGATGCAAAGATGCACAACATAGATGTTCAAAATGCACAAAACTTATTGGAACAAAGTAATTTTTATGTGGATGAATTAAATAATATACTATATATAACTATAATTTATTAACAAAAGGTCTTATTAAATTATTGGATTCAGATTTAAGTATGTATTCTCTTGTTAAAATATCTACTTCATTTTTATAGTTAAAATTCACTATCAAAATTACATAGTAAATTTAAGATAACCATATTATTAGGATAAACCTTACTGTCTAAAAATATTTATATCAAGACTCTAATTTAAATTAATAATAATAATTTAAATAAATCGCATAGAAACAGATTAAGAATATTTAACTAAGAATTTATTGAAATTATAACTAACCTCTTTTCAATTTGACGTTTCTTAAATAGATTTGAAGAATGAATTTATAAAATAATTTTGAGTCAAATTTTCAGTTTTTTAATTGATAAACAGAAAAATAGAAAATTTTTACTTCCTTTAGTAATTTATTCTATTAAAATTAATACTAATAATAATCTATATCAAATATTTATTTCTGATTGATCATACCCTCGACTTTCTAATATTATTGCTACTAATCTCATAAATGTTTCCAATTCTATTTCAAATTCATTGTATTTTTCTTATTGTAAATGTTTTAAATAACTTTAAAGTATTTTTTCTAAGATAAAACGACATAACTACCTTCAATATCAAAACCCATGCTTTAAAATATGGCTTTGCTATTAATTAAAGTAATTTTATGTTCCTAATTAGAGGCAGACTCAAATTATAAAGCTAAGTCTTCCATCTCTTATTTAGAATACATTTCATCTAATGGAATATGTATGGCTCTATAAATAATTCTCTCTTTTCTAGCCAATTCCATAGATTCTTTAAGAACATTTGTAGGATCTTATAATTCAACTTTAGGAATATCTGGCAATACATAAGGATCCATAAAATGCTTTTCCCTTTCCTCTTTCACTGTGTAAGGATCTTCTACTTCAGAATATACTCCAGTTTTGGGCATATCATCTACCCATTCTCCAACAAATACTTGATTTTTGGTGGCAAAGAAATAAGATCCTTGACCTTCCTATATAATTAATAATATATATAATAATTACTCTTTTATCATTTACCCAATAGCCTTCAAAATGATCACCATTTCTTTTAGTTAAAACTCCATAACCACTTCTTAAACCCTTAAACCATGAACCTTCATAAACATCACCATTTGCATAAATCATACGTCCTTCTCCATGAGATTTATCATCCTACCATACACCATCATATCTATTTCCATTCTAATAAAACATAGTTCCTTTTCCTGTTTTCTTATCATTTACCCAATCACCTGTATATTCTCTTCTCATTCTACAATAATAAATTGGAATTTCTATACTTATTTTTTCCTTCACTAACCCAATATGTACCTTATCCATTTCTTTGATTATCAAACCATCCTCCTTCATATTTATCACCATTTCCATAATATTATACACCAAACCCACACTTTTTATTTTGATTCCAATCACCAACATATTTTTAATCAGCCACCCATCTCTCTTATTTTTAAGTTCCATCTTCATTCTTTGTTTAACTTTTTACCCAATAAATTGCTTTATGTAATCCATTTTTTTCTGCTTTTTAATCATTTATCTACCATTATCGAGCAACTTTCATTGAATTATTCTTTACTGATTATTTCTACTAAGATTATGAATAGTAACTGGCGTCTTAATACATTAATTATATAATAATAATAAAATTAATATAATCCTTCAAAAATTATATACATCATAATCTAATTCAATAAATTAAAAATATTTCTATGATTAATAGTATTTGTAAAATAAATAATATTGTATTTATCAATTTTTCCAATAAGAATTATATAATAATGATATCTTGTAAACTTTGTGATATTTATATTTGATAGTAGTATTAAATTCAATCATAAAAGTTATTAGAATTTAAGAAATAAATTTAAAATTCTTTCAAAGAATTAGCTTGTTAGGTTAGTTCTATTTATTTAATTTAAAAAAAGGAGAATTGTTAAATTTGAAGCATTCTAAATATATTGGAAACTAATACTTATAGGTTTATATTAAATTTGGATATAAATAAAAAGATTTTTAAACCAAAATAAAATCTTGTGCATAAAATGAATACTCAAAAAGAGTTAAGTGATATAGTATTTGATAAGGATGAGAAATTAGAAATAGAGAAAGACAACTCCTTTACTTATAGTGAACCTCATTATATGGCAGATAATGAATAAGTAATATATTATGTTTATTATTGTTTTAGTAGGAAGAATTATAAGAGGAGATTCAATTCCCTGTTTTTTCACCTTAGTAGTTATCACATTTCAAAAGACCAAAGGCTATTACTTTTGATGAATTCAATCTTGATGAAGATCCAAAAAAAAAAGTATGTCTTTAATTGGAATGCACTACAGCAGAACAATCAGAATTACAACCTATGGGAGATTTAGAAAGATTAGCTGATATGCTCTAACGTGAAAATTAAAAGAAATATTCATACCCCAAGAATTTGCCTGCTCCTTCTAACGTCGATAATCATCTAGATGAATTGAATATGCGTTTCACACCTTCTCAAAAATAAGATGAATTTGTTTCAAACTATGTTAAAGGAGATGATTTATTGAGAATCAAAGTGGGATTATGTGATGATATCCTTAATGATGAAGAAACATTAAAGTTTGAAGATTGGGTTGAACAATTATGTACATCAACTAATCATGAATCACTTAAAGAAATGGCAAGAAAATAAAAAGTAAAGCGATATCTAGAAAAGAAACATAATAGAACTTATGAAAAGAAAGTTCATTATCATATAAGATAAAAGGTTGCTGAAGAGAGATTAAGAGTCAAGGGTAGATTTGTAACATGGGGATAAGTATAATAATTAAATGTATATTTCATATAGGCACTTAAGATGTTGAATGAAAAAGACACCAAGAAATCATGGAGTTACAATGACTATACTAAAATTAAGAGCTTACTGAATGAAAAGTTTGGAGCTGTGAAGAGTGAGAAGTCATTGAGATTCTGATTGTTTACAACACTTGTGTATTTTAATATATTAAATTTCCAAATTTTTTTTTATATTTATAATATGTATTTTATTATAATAACTCTAAAAGATATTAAATTAGAAAATGGAATTCATAATCATAATTATAATCAAATAATAACTACAAAATACAATTATTTTTAAATTTCAAATATATATCATTTGTTTTTATTTATAACATTAATTAGATAAATTGGAATATTGACTGATAATCTTGATTAATTTTCTAATTTGATATTCTTGTAAAACTATTCAAATTTTTAATCAAGGATCAAATAATTTTATTTTCATTCTATTCTCTTAAACATTGCCAAGAATTAAATCTTAATTATAAAATTAAAATTTATAAATCTATATTTTAATATATATCTATCTAAAATAACAAAAAGTAGTATATCTTTTAAGTATTATTTGGTTCTATTATTAATTATTATTTATATTTGTTGTCTTTAATAAAATTTAATACTCTTAATAAAATGATATAAATTTCTATATAAATCAGAAACTTATTTTCTTTATTTTATCATCATAAAATAAATATGCAAATCCAATCTTATCCATTTTTTAACAAATTATCTAATTTATTATAATTTCAATACAAAATTTATAATTATTTTACAATTAGAAAATTTTGTTTTATTGTTATGGTTTACTTTCCTGAAAGATCTTAAGACTTCTATACTCATATATATTATAATCTATTAGAATAGACAATTTAATCCATAAGTATTAAATTTATTTAGATATATGAATTGATTAAATGAATAGGATTCTTAAATTAATATAAGAATGATTAAGTGAAATAATAATGAAATTATTCTATTAGAATATGAAAAAATTAGTTTTATAATGTTTAAATAGATTGATATAAAATAATATAAAAATAATTATAATAATAATTACATTATTAAATATAAAAATTAAAGATGTAAGGGGGTATATGAAAAAATTATAGTGAATTCGGACTTATGAGTGTGATATGTAGATGGGAATATAATAATTATTTTAATACCTTAAATGAAAGACAACTGTGTCTTAAACTTACCTTCTTATTCATCTCATCCTTTGGAAAATCAATATGGCTAAAAAAATGAGATTAGTGAGACTAACAGTAGTCAAAGGACAAACAGTCAAAGTGAAGTGGGTTTTAGTTAAAAAGTAATTTGATTGTATATATATATTTTATAGGAAGGAAGTAAGAAGACAGAGGGGACAAAAAAGAAAATTAATAAAGAATAAGAGTAAAATGCAATGAAAAATCAAGGCCATTGGACTAGTCAAGAACATCAAATTTATGTAGAGTTCTTAGAGTAGCATCATGGTACATCTATGTAGAGTCAATAAAATAGAAAGAATAATAAAATCTTTAAATTAATGTCATAAACAATAGGAACCAGATCTCCATCTTAATGCAGGTATTATAAAGTAATATGTAGATCTCATCATCAAAAATTTAATCCATATACAGCAGCTGGATAAAAGAGGAACAAGAGAAACAAAAGAAGAATGAGTAATTAAAATGTAGATGGAGAGAATATGTTAAATATGACAGTAAAACCTATGATACAATATAATACTCCAATGATAAAACCAATTTTAGGTATGATTGATGAAAATACTCATAAGATCAATGTTATGATGAGTGCGATGATTACATCTCAAACTATGAGGATTCACGTCCTTAGTTATAAAATTATTGTTACAAATCTAACTTCAATAATATATACAGAAATATATAGGATAATGATTAGTACTTTTATTGAATAGAGTTAGTAAAAACATATTCGATTTGTTTATAAAATTATAATAAAAAAAACAATATAATCATTCATCTGTAGTATCAGTGTAATCATTGTAACAACAATACTCTGAAATCACATCTCCACATGCAGATTCTGCTTCTTAAAGTTCTAATTCATCAAGACCATCTTATAAGAATAAATGTAAATAAGCTCTCTTTTAAAAAAGAGTTCTATATTATTATTACAATAAATTAAGTTTATTTCCCATAGCAGTATGATGATTGATTGAAAAAGCCATTAAATCACATTGTTTTTATTTGATTGGACAAATACTATAAGTGATAGGATCAGCAATCCATCTAACAAATTAGATATCATCTGAAGTAATAGTCTATTTAAATTCTTAATGGACAGAAAATATATCACTATTTCCATAAATCATGATTTATTAGGCTAGAAACTTACCTTAAGATAAGGACATAGAAAAGGTTTAATTTCGTTTAGAGTAGATTTCTTTACTTACTTATAATAGACTTGGTGAATTAATATATGAAAATAAAGGAGCTAATGATATAGTATAACAATGTAATTTAGGAAATGGAGTAATATTAGTTTAGATCTTATAAAAATTAGTATTGGAGTAGGAATTGTGACGAAATGATTTATAAATCCCATCCATAGTAAAAGCCAATAATTGATTATAAGTTTCGTAATTTTGATCATAAATAAACATATTCTCTGTCATTTATTGTAATGAATCATTATCAAAATAGAATCCCATATTATAATTATAATTGAGATGCATTAAACCAAGTAGACAATTATATGGATAAATAACACTATTTTCATATTTTGATGGATAAATAGAAATGTTGATTTTTGAACAATCACAAAAATGATCACTTGTATAATATACTAATTTAGCTCCAATTCCAGATCCTGTTCCACCATTTATTGAATGAATTAATTATACTGCTTAAATTCCATCACATTATTCTTATTCTTTTCTTACCTTTTCTACTATCTCATCAAATAAATCATTCTAACCATAATAACCACTTGCAAATGTTAAACATTTTGCACTCTTTCCACAGACAAAATTATTTGGATCATAATAAGATAAATTCTTATTTCCCCTTATCTTATCTAATGTATTCTCTTCATTATCTACTAATATTGTTCGAGGAATCCCTTTTCTAAAAAATTTATCATCCAATTTTTCACCACAATCATCCATCATTTAGTTCCATATGGCATTTCCAATCTGATTTCCACTTTATCCTACTTAAATTGTTATTATTTATTTCATTAATTCATTTATTAATTAAACTCATGCACTCATTATCCTTATACAAACATAAATAAGACATGGAAATTTAAAGAGCTCATTAATATGAACAATCATTAAAAGCTAAGGAATTGTAAAAAAGTCAATTATTATATAAATCTTGTGAAAGATTATAAATGTTATCAGATAGATAAATGTAAAAACTGAGACTTAGTTAAATTTCTGTTTTTAAACATGAATAGAATCATCAAAGATTTAAATCTTAAGAAAGTGAAGCTATACATACTCGGTATTTCAATTTATTATAAAATTAAGTCCTAAAATTGAATTGGATAAAGAAGCTTATGATAAATGGATATTAATGTAAAAAAGATTAATATCAAAAGAAGAAACATAAAAATTGAAGAAATATGAATCTAAAATATAAAAGGCTAATGAAATAGGAATGTTAAAAGAAAATGAATTATTGAATAAATAGAAATTAAGAATATAAACTAAATTGATTAAAGAATCTATTCATAATGAATAATAACTTAAATTATAAGTATATAAATATATAATTTTGTAGAAAATCCAAAAAAAAGAATATGCCAAATTACATCTTATATGATTATAATTTATTATTATTTATTATAATTGTTTGTAAATTATGTCAAAAATTGATCCACTCTTAAAATTAAGATAAAAACAATAAAGAGAGTTGTAACATCTCATGGAATATGAAAAATAATTAAGAGATAAAGAAATTAGAAATTCGCAACTGCTATTGAAAAAAAAAGATAAATTTTAAGACATCTCTATGAAATAATTAAAATTCAAAGAAGATTTAAAATAAAAAGCTGAATAAAAAAGAATAGAGTTTGAAAAAAATTTAAGTCAAGCTAAAATGATTGAATTAGAATAATTAAAAGTAAAGATATATATTTAATAATTATAGTAATCATAACTTCAAGTTAATAAAACTATTGAAACAGTTACAAAATTTGAAAATGAATATTAAAAAGAATAATTAGATGTATTACTAAAAAAGAAATCAGAACATAATTATTAAATTGAATAAGTATTAGAAAATAAAAAAAAAATAGAAAATAAGAAGTTAAAAGAGTTAAGTCAATCTTTAGATGCTAAATTTAAATCTTCATAAGAAGTATAAATTATTATAAATATTAATTAGTTATAAGATAATTTAAATAAATAATTAAGTGATAGATAGAAATAAGAATAATAAAAATAATAAACATATTTTAAATAAGTTGAAGAATAACAATAAAATTTATAAAAAGAGAGAATGAGAAAAGGAGAAATATTTGATGAAAAACTTGATAAAGTTGAAAAATTGAAATAAGAAAAAGAAAAAGAATTGAAAGAAAGATAAAGACTTAGATTAGAGGCTGAAAAATAAAAAGAATCATTATCTAAAGAATTTTAAGAAGAGATTGTGGTAATTAATTAAAAATATATTTAAGAAAATGTAAAAGTAACATTTCCGCAAACAAATTTCAACATGAACAACAAATTTCATAAATATATATATATACTCACAATAAATATATTTTATAATAATATGTAAATTAGAAGATCATTAATTCATTAAAATGACATTAGAAAAGATCACAAAAAATAAAAACAAAGTCTGCCAGATTTTGAAATTTCTGGAGATTATAATATCTCTTTTCTCTATAAAAAAAGAATAAATGCAACTACAATCAGATTGAATATAATTCTAATTTCAATTTGTCATTTTACATGTTACAAACTTATTAGGTAAGGAATATAATGATTTTTATCGTGATCAAATAGGCTACTACTAATGATTCAAATATAAAAGAAAGCTAAAACTCATTTTATTCAAAAGTTGGTAAATCACGTCAATCCACTTAAGAAATACTTTAAAAAGAATATATGGTTAACTATAGTCTGATGAAAATCTTAAATCAATAATCACAGGATAGACTATTAATTTAAATAGTCTTGAAAAATAATTAAACATTATAAAAGATAGTTTTATTTGAGAAATTGCTTGATGGATAAATCATGTAAATTTATTATAAGAATTAAAAAATGAATATCGAATTAGAACATTTTAGTATGATACCCTAGTTATTGAAATAAAAATATATTTTAGATTGTAGAGAAAAAAGAAAAATATTATAAGATATTCTTTATTCATTGTTAAATGATTTTGAATTAAAATAGAAATATTCTATTGATATCTAAATATAAAACCACTCTGTCAAGGATTATTACAAATAAAATTAGCAGCTTTCTAATAAGAAATTACAACATAATTATGGACTAAAATAGATTAAATTTAAAATTAATATGATAAAATAATTAACATAAGAAAAGAATTCTTTTTCATAAAGTTATTTTAGATAACCTAAGAAATGTTTAAGTTGGATAGTTGATTTTCAAACTATGATAAGGAGAAATATTAAAATATCAAAAAATAATTATAAGATGAGCCAGAAAAAAAGGATGAAATTAGTTTAGGGTTTTATAAACTAAAATGAGTTGGAGTATATTATGATAAGATTTTTACATTAAAATTTTATTCAAAGTCACTATTTCCTTTATACTGAACTAAGTGGTCTAACCTTTTACAAAATTCTATTTTATGATTCTATTACAACCCTTGTTTAATTGTATTTTCTGCTTTCCATATTATATTTTTATTAAGCATCATCACGTTCTTTAGGAAATCTAAAAACTTAAATTTATACCTCTCTATAGTTATGCTATTTATTATTTAAATTTATCTGAATTTATAGTAATTTAATCTTGAAGTTCTTTAATCATCTCTCTTAGTTTATTAGCATATGCTCTTACAGTACTAAAATCCATTGACATAAAATTTAAAGAATCTAATTAATTATAATCTATTTCTAATATAATTTAGCTTTATGATTATCTTAATTATTTAGTTGCTGTTTTAATTGTTTTTTCAACAGTTGATGCCTTTTTAGTTAATGTAGCAGTCACACTATTTGTATCTAAAAAATGGAATAAACTAAAATGAGGAACATAATTCATACTTTTTATGTTTAACTTTATTTGGTAAATTAGGTTTGTCTTACTTAGGAATACTGAATGATTTTAATCCTCCACTATATCCTCCTGTTTCAATTTTATCAATAACCTTGCCTTACTTTGTTATAATATCATATAAATCTAATAATTCTTCAACAATTTCATTTATTTATGATCTAAATTATATATTAGATATTTTACTTCTTTTTTTCTCTATATTTCTTGAATTAATTAAGAAAATTTTCAATTTCTTCTACTTTAGCATTTAATTTTTATTCATATTAAAATTTATAATGATCTAATGATTTATTATATTCAGTTTTAATGATTTCTAAACTTTTATTAAATTCTTTTTCAATTTCTGTTTTAATTTACTTTTTTAATTCTTGAAGTTTTTGATTTTCCACATTTTTAGTTTAAGCTGTTTAAGGAAGATTAAGAATAGAAGCAACCTTATCTTCTAGTAAATTTTTAGATTCATCCTGTAATTTTTTAATAAATTGATCTCTATCTGAAGATAATAATCTAAGTGCATCATCTCCACTCATTTTAGATAATTATAATTGATCTTTAAATTTTTTATTAATTTCTTTTTATTCTAATATTTGTTACTAATATCTTTCCAATTTAGAATGTGTATCCTTTTTCATATCTTCTATTTGTTTTTTTAATTAGGCATTTTCATAATGATATTCATCAATTTATTATGATAAACTCACATTCTTTAATAAAGCTTCTTATTAGTTTTTGAAGATAGTTATATCTTTTGCATTTTTAGCAGAAAGCCTTTCTAAATCAATATCTAACCCTAAAAGTCTTTATAATTCAATGAATCTCTTTTTTCTATCAATATTTAATTATTCAACTTTAATTTTATATTCTTCTATCTCATCTTTTAATTTTTTTATTTCTTTTTCTTATTGAACATTAATTTAAGTATCAAAACCTAACATAGATTGTTACTTTTTAATAGAAACCTATATATTTTTAGTTCTATCTAAATATTATAATGTCAATAAACATTCTTCATAATTTGATTAACTAGGATTAATTGCTCCAATTAAAATAACTTAAGTATTATTGTCAATTATTAATACCGATGTTAATTTGGATTCCTTTTTTGGTAATATTTTATTAGAATTTTAATTGAAAGAATTTAAACAACGATTAAGTACTTAATGACTAGCAGTAATTAAAATGGCTTCTTGAAATTTCTCTCCTTCAGTTATATTTTTTGCCACTCTCTCAGATCCTGCTAAATCTACAAATTATAACTTAGTATTAGAATTAATCTCTAATGTAAGTATAATATGAGTTCTCATTTATCTTTTGATATCTGTACTTCTAAGAATTTTTATCATTTCCCAAAAATCATTGATTAACAATATTTATCGTTTAGTAAACTCTTCAGTTATAAGATTTGTATTTAAATCTCTTATTTAATCTACATAAATCTCTTGAAATGAAACTTAAACATTCTACCCTTTTTAAAGAATCTGTTAAATCAATAAAGGAACGATTCCTGGATTTTGTATATTTCCAAATAATGAATAACTTTTACCACTACCAGATTGCCCATAAGATATTATACATCCATTCTTATTCTCATAATCAAAATTAACCACACTTTCAAATAGTTCTTATTATGTTGAGGATGCTGGGAAGATCTTATCATAACGAAATTATTGCCATTCTGCCTATTTATTTGTTGGATCCTGCCATTATTTTCATTACAAATACCTTAATAGAGATAACATTCTAATCTATACTTAACATAGATTAATCATAATCAATTGGTCTTACTCTTAAAAAAACTTTATAATTATTCATATAAATCAGTATATAATAAACTCTCCTGATATTTAATATATAAATGATCCTATATATATATATAATTCATTGAATTTTTAGACTTGTTCTATCTCAACTCTCTTTTTATTCCATAATTTAATTGCAAATTATTGACTAAAAGAGTGATTTAAAATTTAGTAAATAATTTAGTTATTAATAAAATACATCTTCTTATGAATCCGATACCATTTTGATATATCTTCTTCCTTTTCTCTTATATATTTTCTTTTAACTCTAAAAAAATGAAACTTAATGACTTTTTTATAGTTATGTTTATTTATATAATTCAATAAAGGGGATTATGAAATGAATAAAGTTAAAATTAGTTGAATAATTTAGATGATTCATTCATTTTTAATTAAATTTTATGAAATTTTCATTTTTTTTGGAAATTTTAAAAGTCATTAATACAATCATATATATATTCATTTTATACTATTAGTTAGAGAGAAAGTAATTATAATTATAAATACTTAATCAAACTTAAATCTTGGAATAAATTAGAATTAAAATTCTTTAAAAATTATTCTTATTCATTTTATTTTTCTTTAACCATCAAATTACGCATTGTTTATTCAATTGATTGTAACAGTAAATGTCATTTTTATAGTTAATTTACTCAAAATTTAATTTATTTAACATACTAAATATGTGAGAATTGTTTTAACGGATTTTTGCGGAAGATACAAGGTTGAACTAGTAGATGTTATGGTGTGCAATTTATTAAGAAGTTTGTAATGGATTGGATGTAGATTGATTATTTATAAATTGGATAATATGCTAATACAAATTATAAAGTATTCGTTTTTAACGAGAATTGATAAGCATTAATATAAATATATTATGAAGACTATTCTGCTTATTTTATTGAGCGTGCAAATCTTGCTAGCTCAGGATCCTTGGGTAACCCATTACACAGCATTTACATCAGCAGAAATAAATGATTTGGATGGTAAAGAATGATAATTATGCTTAGGTTGGGTTGTAAAGAAGGCATTTAAAGGAAATACCTTTAGTAAATGTGATAAAATAAGTTTGGTTGGTGGTTATGGAGCTTTTGGAAAAGGAGCTACAGCATTAAAATAATTGAATCTTCCTCCACATTATAAATTAAAGATTAATGTGCAGTTATGGAAGTAAAATTAATTTATATAATTAAACCTTTAGAATAGATAGTTGGGATAATGAAATTATGTTTGTTTTGGTTGATGGTTTCATATGGCAAGCTAAATGGCATTATTCAGAGGGAGCAAATTTATGTGGGGCAGCTAATGATTGGAAAGAGGCTTTTTATAATATTGAATTTGAAGTTCCACATAATTCACCTACTGTAAGTATAGTATTGACATCAAATTTGGATGAAGATGCTTTGAATGTATAGATAATTATAATAATTATTATAGGAATCATGGGCATTTAGAGATTTCAAATTATCATTCTAAAGATGTCATCCAGAATGTGCAGTATGTGGTGATAATAAACCAGATAATTGTTTCTTTTGGACAAATGTAGCTACTAATTGGAATAAATAAATTTCATTAGAAGGATGGACATTAGATGGAGAAGGAAAAGCTGAATCAAATGAATGTGCAGGAGTATAACTTTTTGGTGGTTTTGGAAAATTAGGAAGAAAAGCTAATTTATGGAAGAGATTCACAAATTTACCTCCACACTTTTAAGTCAAAGTCAAGGTTTAAATGTGGAAGATTGATTCTTGGGATAATGAATTATTCTTAATGGAAATTGATGATTAAGAAAAATTCAGACAAGCATTTGCTTATAATGAAGGAGTTGATCTTTGTGGTGTTGATACAGGTGCAAAATAAGGAGAAGGATGGGCAGAAAAAATAGTTAATATTGAAATTAATGTTCCTCACAAATTCCCTGAAGTAAAAGTCTTAATGAAATCAACATTGGATGAACCACCTGAAAATGAATCATGGGGTGTTAGAGATTTCTAATTATTTGCTGCTTAATGTTTCAAAGGATGTACAGGTTGTACTGGTCCAGCAAAATCTGATTGTACTTCATGTGGTTAAGGTTTTGATTTAGTGAATGGTGAATGTAAAGAAGGAAGTAATTAAATTAATATATATAATTATTAGTTAAATGGATGACATTGAATAGATTCTTCTTTAATGATGAATAAGATTTCTAAGGATTATAAGATTGGATTCCATCAAATGTATTTTAAAATTAAAATCCATTTTCAACTTGTGGTTAAAAGAAACTTTTTGGTGGTTATCAAAGATTTGGTGCCAAAGCTAAAGCTGAAAGAAATTTCAATCTTCCTAAACACTCTAGACTTAGAATCTAATTCTAATTTTGGAAAGTTGATTCATGGGATGATGAAAAATTCTAATTATTTGTTGATGGCAAAGTTGTCTTTGAAAGATCATTTGGATTTAGTACTCCAGGATAAGCTAAAATTTGTGGAGCTCCATAAAGTAATTGGATGACTTATTTCTTCAATGTTGATGTCATTATTGAACACTCTAATCCTACTGCTAATGTTGTCTTAAGTTCTACTTTAGACTAAGGTGCTGATGATGAATCTTGGGGTTTCAGAGAATTCTAATTACTTTATGAATTAAAAGAAGATTGTGTTGAATTGTATACTGAATGTGGATTCAAAGGAACTAAATATGAAATCTGCAGAGATACTCCATCACTTGCTAGAGTAATATATAATTATCAATATATTTTAGGAAAAAATAAGTTAAGTTAAATCAATAAAGATTCCTCCTGGAGTTATAGTCTAAGGATTTGATGAAGAAGTTTACAAAGGAAAAAATGTTAAATTTTCTTCAAGTTAAGATTGTTTAGAAGAAATCTAATTTTCTTTCATCCAAAAAAAATTTGAAATAATCCAAGCTGATGATTCTGTCCTTGCTGCAAATTTAAGACGTATAAGATTTGATTGATTTTATAATCATAAGACATAATTATTTCTATCAAAAAAATCACTTTTTATTGATTAATATTTTAATAATAAATGTAAATTTAAGCATAAATACACCATTTTTTTATAGGTTTTTTTATTCATTTACTTTAATTGCTTTGATTGAATCACTTTTGAAATTTACTATAATAGTTTGAATTGTATCATTTAAATTCTGCAATTTTGTAATCTAATTAAATAATCAAATTAAAGATTGAATCAACTTCTTTCTCTACTCATTTTTTCAAAATACTAAAATGATAAGCAAATTAAAACTTTAATTAAGTTTTTTATGAAGAAAACAGAAAAAATCATGCTATATTAAAAATAATTATATATTAAATTTAGTATAAAGGACAAAATCATAGGTCAAATTCTAATTAGATATATTATCTAATTCTATTAAAATCAATATGAACTATATATAGAAAGATAACTTCTGAATATAATTAGAAAAGTCAACTAAAACTCACTAAGATCAACTTCCTAAATCTAATTATAAAGATTTTATTTATAAATTAATACTTATTCTAAAAATTATTTGCTTTCAATATTAAAAATTTCTTTACTCAAAAATCCTTGATTAATATCTTAAATAGAAAAAGGTGTTTAAATTCTTTTAAATTAACTTAATAATATATATTTAGTCTAAAATGATTAATAATCCTTAGGTTCACAAAAATAATGATACAAGTAAAGCAATAATAATAAATAGAGGATTAAATAATTATTTAAGCTTCTTATATGTATATTTAATGGTTCCCATGGTTTTATTATTAATTATGATAATTTTATTGAATTAAAATTATAATTCAATCAGTAAAAAATTAAAAGTTCATGTATGAAAATAAGTATTCTGTGAATAATAATCATGAATTTAGTAGTTATTGATCACCTTATTACTAAAAATCTTCTTCTTATTGATTTAATTTCACTTTTTTTTCGACAGGAGATGCTTCTACCTATTTTTATTCCTTTTGTATCTGTGGCTATCTATAAAGTTCCTTATGATAAGCATCAAGCTATTTCATGAAGCCCATATTAGGTTAGGCAATTCTTCGCTTTGATTAAAGTAGTTTGAGAGCTTAAAGTGGTGTCATTTATTGATATTTTATTAAATAAGCAATAACAAATGAAGCAGACCTAGATTTACCAGCAAAACTTTATATTAATATGTAATATTACCAATGAATTAGTACATTTTTATTTTTTTGGATAGCAGAATGAATGAAATCATTAGCCATTTCAAATTTTGACTTAATTTCCTGATCTACACTATCATTGATATTAATGAGAAGAGATTTAAATTCTGTTGTTTAATATGGAAATATTGGCATCTCACACACACTTAATATATGTGTTATTTAAGCTGTAATTTATACATTTTAAATACATTCATAGAGTTTTTTTTTATTCAATACTGTTCCTAAACACCCTATATATAGATTTGGTATGACCAAATTTGGCGAACTATCTTCTTTTAGCTGTTTTACAACTAAAAATGCCTTAACCTTCTCTAGAATAGCTTTGACATTCAATTCTTCTGGAAAATCAGCCAATTCATCAAGAGCATCAAAATGTTCCATAGAGCTTTTCATTGATTAAAGTTTTAGATTTTTCTTAATTTATGAAATTTAATTAATTGTTAGAAGAAAATATATATTTCATTTTTGAATCAATTTATCTTTGTTTTATCTTTATACATCTACACAAATAAATTTAATTCAATTAATTATGACTAAATAAGAAAAGGTATGATTATCAATATACATCCTATATAATTTATACAATAACATAAAAAGCAAATTGTAAAATGAAATAAATCAACGTAAATTTTAGAAAGAATTGATGATTTATATTTTTATTAAGATCAATAAGTAATTTTTTATATCAATAAAAGATAATTATTTTTAGAATTGCTTATAAAAACATAGAATGGAAATGGAGAATTCTTATTATTAATATTAATTCAAGAGTAATTAAAATAATCTTTTGAAAATATATCAAACAAAAGTTATACTAAGAGTTTAAAAGTTATTTTATTCTTGTTTTTTAAATATTATCTCTTTGCATGAATTTGATTGTGAGATAAAATTCAAGTTTTATCTAAGTTAGAATAGAATATTGCAGTACATTATTTAGGATCATTCGAAATTTATGAATTACTTATACATATATTTGGATGATTGTTAATTTATATTTGAAATAAAACTTTTAATATTTTTAATGTTTTAGAATCCAAAATATCAAACTTAAAACATAAATTAATAGCAAACAATAAAATATAAATTGGTTGAAATATATTGTATAATCTATCTTAAAAACAATTATTATCATATTGCTCGATATATAATATATTAAGTAATCCAAAAATAAATTAATAATTTAATAAAATTCATCTTTTTGTTTAGGAACTATTATAAAATATACTATTTACTTGTATCTTAGAGTACTAATTCCTGCTTATTAAATGATATCTTTAGTTTTATCAAACTTTTCAGATTTCTATTTATTAAAAAATGATTTTTGATTAATCGTTGTCATAATAATTGTATATTGTTTCTTTAATATAGAATTATGATTATTTTATGAATATTGTGAAGTCACTTCTGGTGAGAAATGTTAAAATCTAAATACTCAATAAATGATACTCAGGCAATTATTTATTTTTTAAATTATGAGCCAGTGCATATCTATCTACACTTATTTATTGATGTAATTAACCTAACATAGTTTTAGGAATAGCAATAATTTCATATTCATCCATATCTATCTATTTTAAATCTGGATGTAATTTTAACTATAAATTTTTTTGTAATTTATTTGTGTCCTCAATAAATGATTATTAATCAATTGCGTTTTGAATTGATTTAATAACTTATTTCTCTGTATTAGAGCTTTTTTAAGAATAATTAGTTTAATTTCTTTATTTTGGAGAAATTTGAATATTTGTATATATTTTAGATTTTGCTTCCCCATTTTCTTCAGTGAATAAATTTGTTTATTTTTTTTTAGGAGAAACATCATTATTTTCTTTATAGAATTAATTGATTTTTTCAATCGGAAAAGCAGGTTTATTCATTATTCCAATAACTCCATCTTTATTCATTACTGTCATTTTTCCTCTAAATCGAGATTTAAAATCCATTTATAAATATTTAAATAAAATATAATTATAATTCTCTTAATGAATCAATTTTATTGCTTATCTTATTACTTTGAAAACATTTTTCTCATATTGTTATTCAAACTCTACTCTTGGGTAATAGATAATTAAAAAACTAATTTAACTAATCAATTAAATTAATATTCATCAACAAAACTTCTGAAATATCTATTTATGTAAAGATAAGTTGATTTAATCAAGCTCTTTGAAGAAATTATTGAAACTAACTTAATATCATTTTAAAATATGGAATATGTAAAGAATTATTCTGATAGCATACTCAGAAAAATATCCATATATTATTCTGAAAATTAAATATTATGCAAAACTCTATTTCAATTGTATGATTAAATTATGCCTTTATCTAATAAATATTTTNGCAAACAATAAAATATAAATTGGTTGAAATATATTGTATAATCTATCTTAAAAACAATTATTATCATATTGCTCGATATATAATATATTAAGTAATCCAAAAATAAATTAATAATTTAATAAAATTCATCTTTTTGTTTAGGAACTATTATAAAATATACTATTTACTTGTATCTTAGAGTACTAATTCCTGCTTATTAAATGATATCTTTAGTTTTATCAAACTTTTCAGATTTCTATTTATTAAAAAATGATTTTTGATTAATCGTTGTCATAATAATTGTATATTGTTTCTTTAATATAGAATTATGATTATTTTATGAATATTGTGAAGTCACTTCTGGTGAGAAATGTTAAAATCTAAATACTCAATAAATGATACTCAGGCAATTATTTATTTTTTAAATTATGAGCCAGTGCATATCTATCTACACTTATTTATTGATGTAATTAACCTAACATAGTTTTAGGAATAGCAATAATTTCATATTCATCCATATCTATCTATTTTAAATCTGGATGTAATTTTAACTATAAATTTTTTTGTAATTTATTTGTGTCCTCAATAAATGATTATTAATCAATTGCGTTTTGAATTGATTTAATAACTTATTTCTCTGTATTAGAGCTTTTTTAAGAATAATTAGTTTAATTTCTTTATTTTGGAGAAATTTGAATATTTGTATATATTTTAGATTTTGCTTCCCCATTTTCTTCAGTGAATAAATTTGTTTATTTTTTTTTAGGAGAAACATCATTATTTTCTTTATAGAATTAATTGATTTTTTCAATCGGAAAAGCAGGTTTATTCATTATTCCAATAACTCCATCTTTATTCATTACTGTCATTTTTCCTCTAAATCGAGATTTAAAATCCATTTATAAATATTTAAATAAAATATAATTATAATTCTCTTAATGAATCAATTTTATTGCTTATCTTATTACTTTGAAAACATTTTTCTCATATTGTTATTCAAACTCTACTCTTGGGTAATAGATAATTAAAAAACTAATTTAACTAATCAATTAAATTAATATTCATCAACAAAACTTCTGAAATATCTATTTATGTAAAGATAAGTTGATTTAATCAAGCTCTTTGAAGAAATTATTGAAACTAACTTAATATCATTTTAAAATATGGAATATGTAAAGAATTATTCTGATAGCATACTCAGAAAAATATCCATATATTATTCTGAAAATTAAATATTATGCAAAACTCTATTTCAATTGTATGATTAAATTATGCCTTTATCTAATAAATATTTTAAATTAAAGTAAATTCAAAAATGGATATCATTAGTTTTGAAAAATAATAAAACTTAATTACAAATTAGAATCTAAAAAATGAATTTATTTTGTATTATAAAATAATGAAGATAAAAAATTCTCTTATATCTAGGGTAAATATTGTTAAGAATAATAATATAAAAATGGGTTACATGATATAATTATAAAGATTTATAATACAAATACAAATTTTAATATTTTATTGAATGCATTATAAGAATTAATGGTAACAAAATAAATTTTAATAACATATTAATTATGTCTATTTTAAATATGTATTAGTCAAATTCTAGGTCTGCTCTGTCTAAAGATAGAATAGATGGTCCATCAACAACTACTCCAATGAAATTACTTAAATCATAATAATAGGATAGAGAAAAACTTTATAATAGTCATATAATGCAAAAAGCCTTGATTGAATCTTGCAAGAAATCTAAAGAAAATAGAATGAATTCACCAACTTTCAAAGTTACGGATACTATTATATAAGTAAATCTTAATAGGACAATAGGCAAATTAAGATGCTCCAGCATAAAAATCAGGAAAAAAGAAAGGAATATTTAGTGGTATAGATTCCTAAATAGATCCTTTTAGAAATGTTCATACTTCAACAAACAAGACTAATGTTAAGTTGATGATGTTTAATGATGGTCATTTTATGAAAAAATATCAACAAAAATAAACAGATATGCAATAAGAAAATAATCATAGATATTCAATTAAAGTGTTTTAATAAGAGCCCAGATAGGATATAGCCTAAAAAAAAGTAAGAAAGAGTGTTCCAGGATAGCCAGTAGCAAAAGATCCAATTTTGTCTCCTGATTCAAAAGTCGATAAAAAAGTATGAGATTGATAATATAAAAAGCTTAGGATTTCTAGTTAACAAAAGATTGAACATAAAGATTAGATAGAAAGTATTAGAACATATTAGCATGCAAATTCATCTTTGGGTTTTCGAAAAAGCGTACAAGAAGGTTAATAAAATGATGTTAGTCCAATAAAAATGAGAGAAAGTAATACATACAAAAGTGATATGAAAAATATATTAACTTAAGATGAGCACTTTATAAAACTTGTAATTATTGATTTTTTATATTGGTAGTTTTCACGGACTGATTATAAAGGTTGTGACAATATTAAAAAATCAAAGAAGCCTTGTTTGAAAATGGATGTCCCAAGACCGATTTCAGCATTTGCTCTATATGAAAAGTGATATAAATTTTAAATTAATTTACCTTATTAATTACTGTATATAGGTGTTGTAATACAAAATTTGAATTGACAAGAGCATAAATAAGATGCTTGAGTGTGTTTAAATAATCCAAAAAAGAATTTTCCCATTTTCACATAATATTAAGATCTATCATTTTATGTTGCCTTGGACTCTTCTCTTGATGAATACTATAATATAATCTTCAGAATGAGTGAACTCTTCAATATATGTTTATTATATATTAAGAGAGTGAAACAAAGCAATTTCACTTTGAAGTGAGCTAATGAACTAATTTTAATGCTTTTTAGTTTAGAATATGAGATCAAGGCATTAGAAATATTCTGAACAAGATGATGACTAATAATGAAGTCGATTAATATTGAGGAAAAGGGATTGATATGAAATTAGTCATAACGATGGTTTGGAAAATTAAAAAGATAAATAAATGCATATATGAATTAAAGTTTGAGAATTAGCAGAATAAATGAGCAGAGAATAAATAAGATTTGAATAGATTGATAGTTTTTGGACTGATGAATATAAGGGCTTAGAATTATTTATGAAACAAATAATTATTTTCAATAAGCATTTTCTTCATCGAATAAATAGGTTCTGGATTTGATTATATTATGTTAGTAGCTAACAATGAAGAATTAAACTGATGAATAGTAGGATAATTAAAATAATAGCTCATATTTCGAAGACCATAATGGAATTGATTTGGGCATACGCAAAGTGATAAAATTAGGAGAGAATGGAGATAAGACTTGTAAAAGAATCAGCATTAATTTAGCCACCAATTTACAATACAAATCACAAAGAGTCACAGAATAACAAAAATAAGTGATATAGTAAATTAAGCATCTTGCACGATAAGGCTCACATATGTACGTAACTATCTTTATATTTTATTTTGATTGCTGTAAATACAGTTTCCCATATTCTTTATATTATATTAATGCATATTTATTATTATTTTAGCACCGGATATTTGGAGCTTCCCACAGAGATAATAAATTAATATAAAAAGAAAACTAATTCAGATGCCTTGATAGATGAAGTGTTATTAGAGTAAGTACTTTTTCATCACTCTACAAAACACTATTTCCTTATATTCATCATTTATTTTTTCATTATATTTTTACTTAGTAAGTTTTTACCACCAAACTCGATCACTCCGCTCATATTCACAAAGAAATTACCACAAGGAGGACAGTATAGGCAAAAAGGAACTTAACCATTGTGGGTAAATGCATTTGAAAGCCTCTTAAGTGTTGTGGTCTAATTGTATTACAAGAGTGATTAGAAATTAGCTGAATTTATGAAAGAAAAAGTCTTGATAGATAGTAAAAGAGACATTAAGCAAGTATTTTTTAAATGTATAAAAGGAAAAGAAACCAGGTAGAAAGAAGAAAATTCTTGATAACGATTCTCCTAATCAAGAACAAATAGAATAATAGTAGCCAAACAACTAGAATGTTTACTCTCTTTTATAGCAGGATGTGTTAGATATACTCATTTCTCCTTTAAGGAATGACTTTCCATTCGGTATTCTATCCATTTTTATATAATAGAAACTTGGACCACTAAAGAAATTGCCATATTTGAATGTGGATTATGTAGATATGGTAAATAATATGAATTTTTGTCGCATCTAGTAATTTTCTATTATTTACATAGATTAAAACAAAAAATGCATAAGACATTATCTAATTTTATTATAATTGGAAATTCACTAGCCATTATAAGTTATGGAAAATAAATAAAGCATATTATCATCGCAGTAACCTTAATAACTATGTTTGAAATGATTTTATTTGCAATCACCTGTTTTATTTTATTAATAATACACTATCAAATAATAAAATTCTATCCATAAATTCAATTCATTGACTTATTAATTATAACTCATTTTACAATAATAATTTTTGGTTATTCTTTGCTTAATAGTTTATTATAAAGATTACTATTTTTTATCAATTTACCATTTACTATTATTATTTTCATTTAATATTAAGCAAATTATAACTATATATTTATATATATAAATATATAAGTTATAAAAGAAAAGAAAACAAATCTCTAATAAAATACAATAAGTATTAATAATATGCTATCATAATTGGATATTTCTAATTTCTTCAATAATAAACATCTCCCATCCATTTTTAGGTACTTTTAAACTTACAGCCTTCTCATATGCATCCTAAAGTAATAAGTTTTTGCCTGGATGGTTATGAGGTAGATTTAATTTTATCTAAACTGCTAACTAATAAAATGCTTTTTTATAATCCTAAAGTAATAATTAATTGTAAAACTTCATTTTAAATGATTGTTGGACTGTTTCCTTCTTTTCGAACTGCCATTCCATCAAAATCTCTTTAGTATTAGATATCTGATACAATACTATTTGTGACTCTGTTGGTTTTGGTCTCAGGATTACGTACATCCCATTCTGAGTTTATTTAAGAAAGCACTTCATTATCTACATTTTATTCCAAATACTATGCTCTCAAATACTTCATATTTTCTAAATCTTCCTTTTATATTTTTTTAAATAATTCTTATTCTAATTTGGCTTATTCTAAATTACTAAATAATATTATTTATATTACGCTTTCTCTATTTCAACTTATTTATTTAATTTATTAAGTTCATTATATAAAAAGCTCTCATCTTCCAATTAATTATTTTAACTTTCTTCAACAAATTATAATTTTAGCTGTTTCTCCTATGATACTGCTAAGACTCTTTATAATGTGAGAATCATAATAAATCGTTTTTAATCAAAATTTTATTAATACTTTTAGTATTATTACCCCAATAATTCATTATATTGTTTGAGTTTTTTATAATTATAAGAACATTAAATGATTTTTGTAATACAATTAATTATCTCCTCACTATTTATCAAATCATCTCCTAATTACTTAGATTATATTATAATGTTTTATTTTAATTGCTCCAATTTTTAGTTCAAGTTTAAAATTAATGTGTGAGCATTTTAAGTTTTTGCTTATTGTTTAGATTTTGCCAAACATCTAATAGAATGGGAATCTACATCCTCAAAAGGAATAAGATCTTCACATATTACACATAATACTTGTAAATCATCTTATTTATTTCCATTATTTTTTGAGTATATTTAATTGTTTAATTATGTTTATTTAGTATCCTTTTTATTTGATTATTTTTGCCACTCAGGTAAGATAGCTTTCGGTTATGTTCTCTAAAATTTTATTGCTTTCTCTGCTTATAAAAATAGTTCTTTTTGATCCAACCTTTCTTATTGTTTTGTAATTAATTTTGGTGATTATGGTAATTTAGTAGGAGATTAAACTGAATATAATTATTTTTAAGGTTAAGGAATGATAATCTATTATTAAGAAGTGCGATTACTTTATAATTCAGATTATTAGTCTAAGAAAGTGTTATTTTTATGTGGAGATTGAATTTTTCTAGAATATTATTATAATTAAGCATCTAATTCATATTCATTATTATCTTAAGCTCTATTAACAATAGCTCTTTGTAATATTTTTTGATTTGCTAAAGGTTAAACCATTTAGGAATAATAAACATCTTAATTTTTTTTATTGGTAAGTGGTTCAGATTTATTATTAACAAAACTTGAATGTCTTAATGGTAATATAGGTGCTGAAGGTGAAGGTGAGGTTAAGGATTAATTTTAAGAGTTGTCAACATTGACAATTTCAGTAATTTTTATTGTTTCAAATTAATCAGGACTATTAATTCTTAATTTTTCTGTTTTGGAAATGTTATTGTTAGAGTTTTGATTAAAATCAGGAAATTATTATTATTATTATTATTATTCTATTTATTTTTATAAAGTTGGAGATATAAATCTACTTCTTGGAGGTGTATTTTATATCATAAGATTAGTTTCAACAGGTTTTGTATAATTATTGTTATATTAAATCGGATTTTATTTTATTTGTTCATTGTTTAAAGAATATTACTATAAATTTGATTGTAGTCTGTAAGAATCAATAGATTTATTTTCATATGTTTACATACTTGAATATTTATTATTATTGGTAAAGTTTGTCATTATATTGGAATTATCTTGTATTGGTTTATTATATTACTAATATTGGAGAGGGTTAATAAATTTATTATTAATATGAAGATCTTAAACTTGATCTTATAATTCAGCTCTTAATTCTTCATCACAAAGTGTCTGGGCATTTTTAGTATTATGATTGAATTAACTTGGTTCTTCAAGTTTTCTGTAAATTGAATCCATCTGTTATAATGGTTTTTAGAAAGCATCCTAATTAAGAACACCAAAAAAAGAAGAATTAATTAAACTATCATCATCAGAATATTTGATGATTTCTTAATTATATTTTTTCTACTCAACTACTTGCGTTAGAGTAAGTGTATTATTTTAGAATTAACTCTCTGTTGTTCCTCTATAAGCAGGAGATGAATCTATGTAAAAATTCCTATTATCAAAAGGTTATATCATGCTATCATTTAGCCTAGATGAAATGTCTGTTTCTGATGAAAATATTTTTTCAAATTCACATGGTAATTCCTACCCCATTGTTGGTTGAGGAATCTTGGGTATGTATTCAGTTCTACGATGGGTCATTGACATAGAATGATCTAGAGGCTGAAAAACTGGGTTAACAAATTATTTCATTTATATTAATATTTAAAACTATCCAAGGCAATCAAAGCAAGTTCCTTAACTTCCTTGGGAGATTTTAAAATTTGTATAATAATTTTTAATAGTCCATCCTTGACAACCAATCTAAAAGCAGGATCATAAGTCTTTATATTTACATCCATAACAAATTAGAGTATGGCAACTCGAAGTTGAATATTTTAAGTTTTGCAAATTATAGAAAGAATTGTCAATGTATGTTTCACAAACATCATCTATATGGTGGCATTCCAAAAAGGAAGGGATTACCTTAAAATTTCTATCATTAATTCATCTGAATCTATCTAAGTCAAGTTTTTCATTATTG